AAATTTGTATTGAAATAATACGGATATCGTTATATTATTTCGTGAGTTTGATACTTATGATTTGTTGTCGTTTTTTGAAAATTGTATGAGATGAAAGAATGATGAAAGTTTGGGAATCGAAACGTTAACCCAAAAAATATTTGGTTGGCGTGTGACCCTATGAGTTTTTACCACCCGAGAGCAAATGCTCCCTTAGAACGACATCCATATCTTTTTGTGTATCAGGAATGATTTTAATTTCGTTATATGAATCAATACATTTTTCATACTAGAACGACATTTGCGTTAACTACAACGATAAAAAAGTCGTTTGTCTGTAATGTGAAAAAATAAATAGAGTAATGTAAAATGACTTTAATTTTGTTCCAATAGCACAAAAGCGATAATAGCACAATGACTAAAAAATCTAATAAATCATTTTGTGCTTCTAGTAAATACCAAATAATAGAGTTACAAGTCATGACAATATTACAATTCTAAGTTTCACTACCAGTTTGGCCCATACAAATGGAGCGAACGAGAACAGTTTCTTGCCTTTGAAGCCTTCGACATCATAGGGACAAGAGTTGACATCTCCACTTTGTATAGCATTGTACCAATCTTCAACATCTTTATGGCTTTATCATACAAGTTCACACAAGAAATTGTGTTTGAAACAAGAATAAGCATTGTTTTCCTTTTGCTATTCCTTGCATTTTCATTTTCATGCACATTTTATTGATTGTTAATATTCAACTAGATGGCAAATTAATATCCATATCATATTCACTGTATCTATAATTGCAATTTAACATAAAAAATTAAAATTTCATCAAATATCAAAATTTCGTACAGTACCGATATGCTATACACACAGCAATACCAAACCAAAAAACGATATATAAGTTGTTTTTATATAGCAGAAAATCAAATCTATATTTCACAATAAAACAACAGATAGAATAGCCAAACATGTATTTACCAATAGATATTTCACTTTAACTAATAGAAAAAATAGGTTGAGAAGCAACCCATATCAAAGTTCTAATCTATTGATAAAATGAATTCAAAATCATCATTGTCAAATGAACACCATAAACACGCATACAACTACACGAAGAAATTATTTAGAAAAATGGAAAAAGAAAGAAGCCCAAATATGAAAAATTAACAATAAATTTTCTTCTTCTCCAAATGTTCAACAAGAATATTATAAATTTTGATTACTCACTTCAACCAAATGAGTGCTCAAGGGAATGAAAATATAGATTTTATGGTTAAATGAAATAGAGAAGATGATGATAAGAAAATAAAAAGGATTCATAGAAGATGTCGAAACTGGTTGTGGAAGAAAGGAAAGCTAAAATTCAATTAGAACTAAATGAAAATTGAAATGGGAATTAGGGCAATTAGTGCCTTTTTTTTTTTTTTACCTACAAGGACATTTTAGTAATTTACAAATTCTATTTTTCATTTCTTTGCATGTTTAGACTATCTAACTAAAAAAGGTAGATGTTGGTCTTTATAAACAAACTTCTTCTTTGACTGGACCTTTTAAATGAAAGCCTCCCACAACTAACATCTCATCTTTCTTCATCTTCACCACATCTTCACCACTAACCCCACTAGAAAATCACCAAACCATCGTCGCCGCCACCAAGATCTCCACAAAAGATAGATGTTGGTCTTTATAAACAAACTTCTTCTTTGACTGGGCCTTTTAAATGAAAGCCTCCCACAACTAACATCTCATCTTTCTTCATCTTCACCACATCTTCACCACTAACCCCACTAGAAAATCACCAAACCATCGTCGCCGCCACCAAGATCTCCACATATTCACCACTACAACCACAAATCCACCACATCACAACACCTCTACAAGTCCACAAGATCGCAATCGTAGTGCCGCCACCATCACCATCGAAATGCGGCAGCCATAGTGATGATGCCGCTTCACATAGCCGTGCTACCATCATCACTGTTAGCGGCGTCACGATCTTACCTTCTTCCGTTTCTGCTTGGCCTTGCCTTCCTCTGGCTTCGACGGCGACACAGTCAGATGCTTGATGGTAGAAAATAAAAGCAGATTTGCGAATGGTACGAACTTGCGGCGCTAAGTGTCGCTGCATGTCAGAGTTGTTGACCTATTGGAGGCATCGTGACCTAGTGCGGACGGTGCTCCAGTGGTGGCATAGTAAAGGGAGAAGTGAGAATGGAAATATAGAGAGAAAATGAAAGATTTAGAGAGAGGGGAGAGGGGGAAAAGCTAAAAATGATTAGGCTCCGTTTGATTGACGGAGTTTTCCAGGGAAGTAAGAAAATATTTTCCTACTTTCACTTTTTTGACCATTTGATGTGCGAAATTTTCCAGGGAAAATGTTTTCCTCCCTTTTTCTAGGTACAACAATTTGATACACAAATGGTGGAAAATGTTTTTTCACCTAATAGGTGGGAAAACATTTTCCACCTTTTTTTTTCTTGCAATGAAAACAAATTCTAGACACAACGGTGAAAAAAAAATTCACTTTTAACGACAACTTTCATGTAAAATAAAGTCAAACGAATGATAATCGGTATGGTAAAAAAAAATGAAAACAAATTTAGATTCAATAGTAAAAAAATTATCATTTTAATGGACAAATTTCATAAAAAACGAAGTCAAATGGACACCAAATTTTCAACAATTTCCATGGAAAATTATACAAATCAAACACAATTAATTACAATTCCTAGTAAAAAATTTTCTAAGAAAATCAATTCTCTGTAAAACATTTTCTTTTCACCCATTTTCCACCATTGCAATCAATAAAACCCTTATGTTTTTTAAAATTTTGGTAGGGTATTAAATTAAAATATCAACTAATCATCTTATTTTTGTATAATTAAACTTTAAATCTGAAATTTGAAAAATCCGGTTGTACTTAATTTCCACTTTAAAATAAACATTTCAGCTCCACCACTGCGTTATCAATCCACATGGAGCTCCTCTATCTCCTCTGTTCCATCCTCTCCACCACTTTTACCTCCCTTATTTTGTCTATGTTCCTCGCCTTCCGCCACCTCTTCCGCCGCGTCGCCACCGCTAGCTCAGACGTGGACGCTGGAAACTCCATCTTCCTCTACCAAGGTACCGTCTGGCACGAGCGTCGCCGCCCCGTCCACCATTCATTCAGGTACAACGTCCGATACGCCCTTATTGATCTCGATCGTACGCGTTCCCACGTTCCGCCTGAACATCTCTCTGGAGATGAAGCCCGGTTTGCTGCTGAGACCAATGGCCCGGTGTAATTTTTCTCTCCTCTTAATTTTTCTTTGCTTTAAATTTTGTACTTTTATAAGTTTGATTTAGTGTATATCTAATATGGGCTTATTCTAGTTATTACCATTTCTCATAATGTGCATTGAATTTGTAAATTTGGATTGTAATCGATGTTAAATTTTAATTTTCATTGATGGTAAGACTAATTCACAAAAGCTATGTAGTTAGAATTTTAAAACTTTAAATTACAATGAGCCAATTCCCGTGGTCGTTTGATACTATGCCTACTCTGCATCGATTATCCTTAAACATAAGTCACGCAAAATTCTAATAGGAGCTAAAATCTTTGACATCAAAAATGCGAAAATAGGATTAGGGCTTGATATTATTAGAAATGCGCCAAAATATCATATCTTTGAAGCAAAAACATGTTCTTTAGGTTGCATCTTATTCAAGTGTCTAGATTTTGCAAGAGATTCAAGTTACAAGAAACTGATGATTTGAATCGGTTCTACAGTTTTCTGTTGACAATACCTCCTAGTGTGGGATATGAACAAAATCCATTGAGCGTCTACTATTGCTATGATGTTGAAGGCTCTACACGCACTTTGAAGAAATGTATTGCTGAGGTGAGTTGGCAGGATTTTAAAGTTCAATGTAGTTTGCCTAATAACTTGAAATTGGAGGCAAAGGGTCATGCTTTATATCTGTAACTGCACTAACCCAGCTTCTATGAGAAATCAATATGCAGGCTTCATTGGGAAAACAAAAATAAAACAATAAAAAATCGTGCCATAATTCAATCAGAATTGGTGAAATGTGATATGCAGTTATAACTTATTAACGTATATGAAGCTGGAATGTAAACTGCTTCTGAAGTTCATATGATGAGAAAATTTACCTATAGTGTTTTAAATTTCAAATGTAATTTTAGCTTGACTTAGTTTTTAGCTACTTTATTCTATGCTAGAGTATGCATCTTTGAATTTGACAAATTTACCTATTCAATGAGAGGTATTATGTGCATCTTTGATATTTGGATGAGAGAAACAGATGTGTGGGATTCCATGGATGTTAGACATGTATTATATTTTTTCTTTCATTGGCCAAGTGCCGATAGGTTAGACATTAAATGCAAATTCATATTAGGATATCTCTAAATTAGAATGCTGGAGTGTAATTTCCATTTTCTACTCAGATTTTTGCTCCAGAAATTATGAAAAATGAAAACACAGCTTCTGTTCTTTCTTTATGCTGCAATATTTTTCAAGCATGAAGGATTGTCATTTGCCAACATTCTCACCTTTTTCTGTTTTTGCTCTCATCTATTTCTAACATCAATATGATTGCTTCAGGTTACAAACACACCATGGGGTGAAAGGGTGTCGTTTTTATTCAATCCAACCTCTGATTTAGTTGCAAAACCTCTTCATGTCAGTCCTTTCATGGTAAGAACTCATCAATTTCCCTGTACATTTTTGATGACTTGGTGATTCGTATTTGTTAGTCCCTTTCTTATTTCCATTCATAACATTTTAAGTAGCTATTGGTTTCCACCTGTTAGCTTTGAATTCATTTCTCATACGTCTTACTGTTGTTGATAATCAACCACAGGATATGCTTGGGAACTGGCGCATGCAAACAAATGAGCCTGGGGATAATCTCCGAGTAGTAATTTCAGTACAGCACCCCGAGCTTGGTAACTATTTCACAGCTTCATTAACCGCCAAGAGGATCACCTCCTCTACGGTGGAGGATCATGCACAATTCTTCTGGTTGATGCCCCACAAAGTTGCTTTATGGATATATTGGCATGTAAGTATTCTTTATTGTTGAGAAACTAATTATCTTTCTATTGGCTTTAGGATCCATCTTATCTCCCCTATTTGTTGGACCACGCAGTAGGTTTGGTGTGCTTTTGTGATAGTATTATGTTACTGTGGATGTAGAATGATGTTTCTGGCAATAGGCTCAGTGCGCATGTTGGTTGTTCTGCAATTTAGTTTTCTATACTGCTCTTTTCTCAATTTCTGCTAGCCCAGCGACATTAATTTTTTTCCTGGCATATGATCCGCCAGATCTGCCAAAATTAACCTATTGGGAGCATGCTTGGCTAGTTTTCTACACTGCTCTTTTCTCAGGCTTGCTTTTAAGCATCTTATTTTACCAAAGATAAATACCAAGGATTTATTTGGGTGGCCAGGTGGGTGCTGACCCAATTTTATTCCTTTCCCTAAAGAATTGCAAAGATAGAAATGAAACACAAATTCTCAACAAGAATAGGACCAGTTTGAATTATTGTTCATCTCACTGGAAACAACGAGATGGTAATGGAATCGAAGGCTGTCAAGAAAAGAGAAACATAGCTTTTTCTTCAGCTTAGCCAAACATTCTATATGCCTACTAATGATGTTCAATTTCTGATATTCTTTCCCAGAAGAACTGTAGCAATGTTCAAAGCATTATCATTTAAATGGATGTTTATTTCTTTGTCACGATGTGTTATCCTAGGCTCTCAAACTTTGGTGGAAAAATGTTTCGTTCATTCAACATCCAAGATATCAAACTCCAATGTACAGAGAAGAAGCTTTTCTGCGTGACAAAAATATCCGATGTTGTCGATCATTTGGGGGCGATGAACTAAACAACCCACATGTCGAAGGAGTGAAATCTGATCCAGTGGCTGAAACTACGGACGATCATCACTTCAAATGGAGAGATGCTAAGTGGCCCTGGTGCTGACTATGAACCGTTAAGTTTGTATCACCGGCTCTCAATTAAATATATATAGATAGATTTATGGAAATGGAGATAGCATTTTCTGAATTCTGTTGTACATGAAAGTTTAGAGCCCGTTTGGCCCCCGTTTTATCTCATTTTCTCTCATTTTCGTTGGTCAAAAATAGTGGGCGGCGGGACCCACTGACTTATTGCCCCTGCAGGATGCGTACGTTTCTGCATTTGTTTACTAAATTCTCAATTTTTTATTCCCTACCATCTAGTGACTAATTCCAATATTGCCCCCAACCTTTTTGACTAAGTTGACAATATTGTGGAAAAATGAAAGTGAGAGAGGGTATTTTTGTCCTCCACTTGCCAACGGTTGTATTGCCTGACACATCATACAATTGATTTAACAAATGGATTGACTGATTGGTTTGTGGAAAAGAGTGAAAATAAAATTTAATGAGTTTTAATGGGGCCAAACAGGGGCTTAGAGTGTAAACGTCTCATTATTCTTGTTTCCGAGCCTCACTCTCTCTCTCTCTCTCTCTCTATCTATGTGCATGAGTACGTACACACACACACTCCCCTGTGCACAATATGAATTGTATTTTGAGTGTTGAAAAATATTTTTGGTGTAAATTTCTGTGATTTGTTGTGTTAATTGTGAGAAATTCAATTTACTTATAACTAAACATATACCATTCGAAAATGATTGTCTAGATTGTTATTACAATATAAAAGCACACTCTTCAGATAGATAGGGAGAAATTCCATAGAGTACAGTGGTACTTGTGGTGCCCTGTTATATCAAGAATTTTATCACCACTATTGCCAAAATTTTAAAAGTAAATTTCATGATAAGAAATGAACAAATTCAGGGAATATGTACAATTTCTTGAGTTAGCTGTTTTTCAAACTTAGTTGATGAATCATTATTTTACAGAACCCGAAAAGAAAACTATGAGAGAGAACACTGTAAGCTACACCATAAGTTTGTGGAATAAGGGAGTTCTCAAATAAAGTCTTAGATCCCAATATCAATTTCTGCTGTCCTCAATTCTTCGATTGTTAAGGTATGAAGCCTCTTCAATTGTCAAGGATTTCTTAGATTCGTGTATTGCTATGATGGAAAATGATATATGTACCCGGGGGTTTACACCCCGGGTTACCCAACCCCATCGCCCCCCTCACAATGAGGTGGGGGCTTGAGGTGAATTAAATAATCGGCGGGCCCTCCCATTGTGAGGGGGGGGGCGTGGGGTCGGGTAACCTGGGGTGTAAACCCCCGGGTACTTGTAGCAAAACCCATGCTATGATAATGCCTAGCTTGTCGGGAATTGTTTTATTTTCGAAGTGGAACAGAGCAAAGTTGGGGACTTGTCGACTTCTACTTTCCAGTTTTTAGGATGTAAAATAGCTCTGGCATGTAATCGTATTACAAATTAAAGAATTATCAAATTTATTGTTTTTTCCTTATGAAATGTGCAACAATTTTCTTGAACGCGTCATGGCAGTATGATCACATTTCTAGAATTCATCACATGTTTCATATGGAATTTCCTTATGATGCTGGATTTAAACTGATACCTAATAGTTGCTAGATTAGATGAATTCCAGACGAATCTCTATCACATTACATGATGACTTATGTTCGATGCTTACAAAAATTTGTCTAATATTCAATAAAGCATGTGCCGTTCATCAAGTTAGGTCGTTTTATTCATACCATAAAGGAATGTAGGTTAGGCCGGGGGGCACTGAATTTCTTTAGCTTTCTTTCAATTCTTTGATTGATTTTCTTATAAATACCAAAAAAAAAGAAAGGGTCCCAAGAACTGTATATCGACATAATCAGGCTTAAAGTAGTCTTTCAGAAAAATTTCAGTTGACGGTTTTAACACATGTACATATAAGACCGTCCACTCAAATAACGACAAAGAGAACTCCAAACCACTTAAATTATTACACATCGGCATTTGAAATGGTAAGAGAGGAGCATGGTTGTATGGACAAATGGTAAGAGAAAATGTTGTACAATGTTTTATTTTTAGGTACTAACTAAGACAAGAAGGATCATTACAAGAGATGCGATTACTGAACATGATGGTCTACTGTATTTCCTATTTTCCAAAAGAAGAGAATAGAAAATCAAATCACTAAAAACATGCGTATATACTATTATGAATGCGACGTCTTGGAAGAGTTAAAAAAATTGTCTCATTTTACGCGTGCCTTTTATTATTTTTTCATATTCTTCCCCCACCCTACATTTTAATGTTTTAGTTTCGTGTTTGAACAAGTATTTATCTTCAACATGGTGCTTTTTGGGCCGTAAATCTCAATCCAAATATATACATACACACATAGATAGATACATTATCTCTCTCATCTCTCTTTCTCACTCTACTAATCATCAGACGTATTCTTATATTTACACTCTGTAAGTCTCCATCGTTATATGTATTGATGGAAGGTTGATGAACTTAAATGGAAAAAGGCAGGATCAACAGCTAACAGTTTTTTGGCGCTGGAAAAGTTGTTGTTTGTGATGTTACAGAGCTTCTGGTATAATTTTCAAGTGCCGAAATTTCTTTCAAATTGTTCTTCATAATTCAAGCAAATATGAAGAATTATGGATTATAAGTATTAATTTTTTTTTACCATTCTTAACCATGCATGTATTGATGCAATATTAATATCATATATTGATGCTGGTTTTGAATGTTAATATCATGCATTTATTTATATGAAGAAATCGCTGCAGAGATTCCTCCAGAGAGAGAGAGAGAGAGAGACTTTAGTTCTCAAATCGTGGAATTGATCTTCTTCTTCTGTTGGAAGAGAAGAAATTAAAGATTCAATTATTTGCTTTCCAGAATATATTAATTTCTTCTTATACGATAGAGTGATGATATTGTAGGTTATGGTGAAGAATGAAGATGATAGTCCACGTAGCGGAATCGGATTCTTATGATGTTAGTTTTTGTTAGCAATGAATCAAAAGGAGCTGCTAAAAAATAATTCATACAACCGGTTATGTAGTTGAAAACGAGATAGATTTAGTTTCTTGTATAAAAAAGTTTTCATATCACTACTAATTGCAATTGGTTCTCTTTGTTAAACAATCCAAAGAAATAAAGAAAAGGAAAATGAGGCTAGTGTTTCATTAATTGTGCATAATGCAATTGAATACAAAAAAATGAATTAACTTAAAAATAAAGAGACTATATATAGAGGCTAAACAAAAGAAATTAAAAAAACCATTCTATCCTTAATAAACAATAAAATAAAATAGTTATATATTTAATCATATATTTCTTAAGATCTTTCCTCAAACTCACGATGCGGTAGCTACAGGTACCGAGAGTTTGCCAACCAGAAAACAAAAACGGGAAATAGAATGCGACTTGGTAAAAAAATCTGCAAGCTGCAAAGAAGAAGAAACAAATGGCAAAGTAATTGTGTCATGCTTGAGATGATGACGAATAAAGTGACAATCGATCTCAATGTGCTTAGTTCGTTCATGAAAAATTGAGTTGTGAGCAATTTGA